TCTAACCTGCGTATATCCTTCCGGAGCTCCTCGTTCTCCTGCTGCAACCTTTCCATGGCGGTTTTAGGCGCCATTCTGGTTGCACTTTCAGAATATCACGTGGATTAAAAAAAAAAGAAAATGCACGTGGTGGTTGCTTGGTGTGTGGGTTTCGGCTCTCGCAGCGGCTGGGCTTGCGTTTACGCTTTCACTCGACTAACCAGCTCGGGTTCTCGATTGAGAATGCCAAATTTAATAAATAATAGTGAATTACAAGATCTGGACACATAATGGCGTCTCTTGCGAAATGTCGAAGAAATTCAAAAAATTGAGAAATAAGTGAAAAACTAGTAAAATTTCATCTTTACTGCACACCAAGAAATATATTGGTAGCGACAATTGTCATAGTTTTGAAATTAAAGATAAGCATCTATGAATGATATAATCTTATATAAGGATAATTTGGAAGAATGAGGAGATATTTTTATTTAAGAGAAAGAAAAGTGTTCAGTTCGTGAAATTAGTATTACTTAATAATTTTATCAGCAATATGTATGACAAAGATTTTATTTATTTTTTTGGGGTGTTTATTATTTTATTTTTGTTAACAATGTATTGTAATGTTTATAGAAATATTATAAGTATACATTATGACTCTTGACTCTTATGTTTATTTTAGTATTGCTGTAAGTTCATAAAAATTCAAGTTTTGAAAAACGTGCAATTTTTTGCAGCCCTTAAAAATGAAGAAAAATGAGTCTACCGATTGTTTAAGATATCTACCGAAAAATGTCGAAGTTATCTACCGAAATTCGATTTTCGGACCTGGCAACGCTGCGTTCATAGTACAAGACGGAGCGCCGTCTATAAGATCGCCGGTCACTTGATTCCAAGTTTAGTTCGTCTTTATCTATGGTTTGTTAGTAGTGCACTCTGCGGATAGCGTGTTGTGCATTCTTCATTCAGTTCTTCAGCAAAATGCCGTCATGCACCTCAGAAAGTCTGTCGCGATTGTCGTGGCCCAGCAATGAGAGCATTCATGCGGGCAGCAGTTCCAGCGGTTCTGGACTGCCCAGCCCCAATTCGCCGGCCTGTTTCTCGCCCGAATCCACATCGCCAGACAACACGTTGAAAAAGCGCCGCATCAGAAGAACCACTTCGTTGGGAAGTATTATTCGCGAACCGTTTGTGATTCGCTCCGATGCCCGGGACCTCAGAAGCCAGTCCCAGAGCCCAGTGCCTCAAAACAGCGCTCAAGAGGAAGACATCTACTCCTCAATAACCACCATCATCGGATGGTACCCGATGTTCCTAATCCGCATCGCCCAAGCGATCCTCGTGGGTATTTTACCGAAAACGTGGAAGCAACTCGTGCTCGCTCTGCCCATGCTATGGATTTCCATGTGGCTCTGGTTCTTCAGCCAAATGTTTCGATTGCCGTGGCGAATTTTCCTGTTATTCGTCAACATGTTGCTCAGCAGCAATGTGGGGCATACGAATCCGCGGAAGCGCACAGTGCTGATCAGCGGCGGAAGCACCATTCAGGCGTTGCATTTGGCGCGTAACTTCTACTCGGCCGGAGCCCGAGTCGTTGTTTGTGAAGTTCAAGGAGTGTTTGCTTTGACGCGTTACTCCACAGCGGTTAGCAAGTTCTACACGGTGCCGAAACCCACCAGCGACCAGCTGCAGAACTACGTTCGGGCTCTATGCGAAATCGTGGATCGAGAGGAGGTGGTTTACTATATCCCGGTGAGTGCCACCACTTCGGCCTACTACGACGCCGTGGCGAAGCCCCATTTGGAGCTGCTGGGGTGCAACTGCTTCTGCCCGGGAATCAAAGAAGTTTGGGTACTGGACGACACCCTGGAGGTGCTGAAGCGATGCGAAAAGTACCAGATCGACACCCCCAATTACTACCTCGTCACCTCCAAGGAGGATGTTTATCGGCTGTACGATACCGGCACCATTCGGATAGGGAATTACGTGATGTCCACTGCAGGCCCCAGCGGGCTACGCGATCGAGCCAAAGTGGTCCTGCCCTTATCGAAAGCCGACCTGAAACTACCAGGCGACATCAGCCAGCAACGGCCATGGGTAGTGGTCCAGGACCTAGAAGGCGACCATTATCTCACTTGCACCACCGTGAAAGAATCCCAAGTGATCGCCAATGTCACGTGCAAGTTGGACAAGGACAACGGCCTGATGCCAGTGGACGCTGAAGAAATCAACCAATGGCTGGCGAAGTTCTTCAGGAACCTGCAACTGCTGCGGCCAATCACCGGCCATGTCAGCTTCAGGTTTGTGGTGTCCAAGGACACCAACACTATCAGGCCGCTTAGTAGCCGGGTGGGGGTGTCGCTGCCTTATATCTGCTACACCAATGTCCATCCGCGGCTGATCTGGAGGCCCTGCAGGCATTTCAATCGCCAGAACTCTGGGCCATTGGTTAATGGCTCTGGCACCTACAAGATGTCCGATACGGTGTTGAACACTCTGAAGAATCCCTCACTGGAAACAGTGACGAAACTGATAGGCACTGTTCTGGATAAGCGGGAGGCGCTGTTTACCATTTGGGATCCTCTCCCCTACTGCGCCTACTATCACATGCAGTTGCCCTTTAAACATATGTTGGGGTTTATGAGGCGCAGCCAGGACCGGTTTCCTAGGCCCATGGTGAATCCGGTGCGTTAATCCACAGTCCTGAGTAGGAGAGAGATTCAAGACCCGGTATTAAGGCGCTAGTTGCTAAGTTGACTTCTTGCTCTGATCGATCACTGTACATATTGATGTAGTTTACGTAGTCCGTCCCCTGTATGTTAATCAGCTAGGAATTTATTGGTTTTGTATTTATTTTATCCGTTTGATTAATTATACTGTTTTGAGTTGCCAATTCTTCAGCCTGAGGCAAACAAGCTGATTGGTGATCCAATTTTTTCCTCTAAGTTTACCATTGATATTTATTTGTTTAAAATACTTAATATTTATATGATGTACCACTTTATTTGTATACATAATGTACGTCAGAAGGTATCATTGTATCAATGGATTTAACAATAATTCTTATTAATAAACTGAATATACCGACCGATTCGATAAAAACCGTGTTATTTCTTCGGTTTGCACTTTGGTCTCATCATGGATTGTTGATGTCTGCTGCATGGGCGCCATTATCTGAGCCCCGGGTTCAGAAGTCACGTATATTGTTTCATTTTTGGGCGAGTGGTTTTATCGCCTTATTTGCCAAACATGTTGAAATTGACTCGATTTAGTCATGAGGTAAGATATTTAAAAAAAGTAATTCTTCGATTCGGTGATTGCGGTAAATCGATACGGTTTTTTGAGTTGTGTTTCATCCTTTTATGCGTTTTCTGTTGATATTTTTGGTTTTAACTCAAAAAGTATATAAAGTTCTATGTCAGTGTTTCAACCAATCTACTATTGAAATTATTAACCTTTAAAAAGTTACACTAAAATGTTGCCAAAACACTTGAAAATTTCTGTTCATATCTGGGAAACCGGTGTTAATATCTAAAGAGTCATCAGGACTTTTTTAATATGGATTTTCTACACCCGTTTTCACTAGCTGAGTTTAATCATAAATCCTAACCTTTAAAAAGTTAGAGACAAATATTTTTGCATTTTTTACTCATTTGTTGGATACTTTTGCTAATATCTTAATCAGTCCTAAGAAGCTTTTCAATCTAAATTTGCAAGCAGACTATTTCATTAATGAGGAGCACTCAGAAATTTCTAACTTTTAAATAGTTAGAGGCAACATTAATTAAAGATTTCAAAAGTTTGCTTTATTTCTCCGAAACCGATGAACATATTAGACCTGCGGGAAAGACCGGTTCGATAGCAAGACCCCTCTTGCGAGCTTTGTTTGCCTTATTCAGATTTAATAGAATTCTTAACCTTAAAAATGTTAGAACCAAATTTGTTTAATATTTCAATATTTTTCTTCATATCTCCGAAACTGTTGGAAACAGCTGAGCAGTCATACGGACTTTTTGGAGAGCGTCTCGCGAGCTTTGGTTGCCTAATTTAGTTTTAATGAACTTCCTAACCCCGTCTTGCGAGATTTGCTTGCCTAATCGAGTTTTAATCCAATTTCCTAACCTCTAAAGGGCTGGCGGCAAAATTCATATTTCAACATATTTATTCATGTCGCGAAAGCGATTGAGATATTTTGCAAGTCTAAGGGACAATTTCGATTAAAAGTTCTGAGAACTGACTTGTACTCTTATCAGCATTTCCTAACCTTTTCAAAGTTAAAACGTTATTTTGCATAATTAAGTGTTATTGAATGTTGACTGTGCAGTAAGCATTTGATACCATTAGAAAATATCTGCCCATTCAAAAGCATCTTTTTATTAGAGTACATCGAGAAACATCCTTCTAATACTGAATATAAGCTTAATCGTGAATCCTAAACCTTTAAAAAGTTACACTAAAATGTTGCCAAATCACTTAAAAATTTCTGTACATATCTGGGAAACCGGTGAAAATATCAAGAGTCATCAGAATTTTTTTAATATAGATTTTTGTGTTTGTTTTCACCTGTTTTCACTAACTGAGTTTTATGTATAAATCCTAACCTTTAAAAAGTTAGAGACAAATATTTTAGCATTTTTTACTCATTTGTTGGATACTTTTGCTAATATTTTCCTAATAATATAAGTCCTAAGAACCTTTTCAATTCAAATTTGCAAGCAGACTATTTCATTAATGAGGAGCAGTCAGAAATTTCTAACCTTTAAATAGTTACAGACAACATTAATTAAAGATTTAATTTTTTTTTACTTCTCCGAAACCGTTTAACAACTTACATTAATACAAATATACAAATATCTAAACAGTCGTAAGGACCGATTTGATAGAGCGTCTCCCTAGGGTTTTCTAAAGTTCCTTGCAAACCGATGATTGAGGCGAAGTTTCTAGCAAAATTAACTTGGTTATTTTGGACTGAAAACACCCCATTATTGTTGTAAACCTTGATGGTTTTCTTACAAAGCAACAAAGGATTAGAAATTTATTTCATGATTTTCCGCGGAAAGTACCTTAAGATTGTCAGCATTTTTCAGTAAAACTTAAAATTGCTGAAAATTGAGCATTTAAAAGAAAGAGGCTAAAACTTGGCTAAACCTGGAAAATTCTGAAATTTGATAACATTTAAAAATATTATTAATTAATGGCCCCTAAAATAAATCTAAAAAATGCCATCAACATTTTTCCAGCAACGGAACTTAGTTCTGCACCGGTGCGTCGACTCCTTAAAAATTCACGGAGTTACACAGGGTAGTCCTAACCTCTAAAAAAGTTGAGGCAAAATTTCGACATTTTTATTCCTATCTCGAAAACGGCCAACATTTCCAGTTAGTCGTGGAGACCTTTTCGGGCTAATGCATCAAGTACTCTCTTGCACTAATTAAAGTTGAACAACACTTCTAACCCCTAGAAAGTTGGAAGCAAAATCTAGCCATACTTTGCACATTTCCATTAATAACTAGCTAACACGTGAATATTTCTGACTGGTCATTAGAACATTTTCGACCGAGTGTTTCAAGAGCTCCCTTTCCTATTGAAGGTTTTACCCTAAAATCCTAACCTTGAAAAAATTAGGAGCAAAATTTGAAAAACAAAAAATTCGTGAAGACGTTGAAGCTACTTGATGAGACATTTTGATCTTCACAAAATCTGATAACCTCCAAAAAGATGTAAGGTTGAACATAAATCCTAACCTTTAAAACGCTGGAAGCAAAACCGCTAAAATACAGGGTTGCTCATTAGTGCGTCAAAGTGCGATATCTCAGTAAATATGAACTTTACAAGAAAATACGTCCTACGAAAGTTTTTCATGTTTAAAAGGTCCACATTTTAAAATTACTTTCCAATATACGGGGTGTATCATAAACGTGTGGTAGTTACCAACTTTGGTTTTTTAAATGGAACCGCCCCTTTTTTCATTCATTTTCAGATTTGTCGTCAAAATTTAAGTTAAGTTTGTGTCAAACGTTTTACCTGAAAAATTTACGATTTCCGAGTTATTCGTAAAAATGTGAAAGTTTTGACAGCTACTGGGTTCCACAGAAATCGATGCTGTACACTACCCGCTGCGAATTTTGGAAAACAGTTTTCAGCGATTCTAACAGAACATCATGATCTACGCGTAGATATGTTT